TTCGATGTCGATTTCGGTCGCGCTCCTTGGCACTCAAACGGTGAACAGTGGAACAGGTAAATCCGTCAGAACCACGGATTCTAGATTTCTTACTTTAAATTGTGGAAATTATTCAAATGCCCTTTTATCTTAATTTAATTTGCCCTTAATTTATTTTCCATTAATTACCGCAACTTCCAAGATCTCTATACGGTATACCATTTCCCCTCCTTCGTTTCTACCAAACACCTGCAAAGTTCCATCGCACCTCCTCGCAAAACTAAAACCACGCTACAAAAGGTAGATCAGAAATGTTTCTATTTCTGCCCGATAACACAATTAGCTCCAAATACTTCGTTGTACACAAAACGTTCCCACCAAAAGGAGAAACTTAGAATCCTCCATGCGAGAAACATAGTCCAGCAACAGAATAACGATAAAAGTCTCGATCTAGCGTAACAATTCCTTCCACGAGAATACAAACGGTGTATTCGCGCCGTTACCTAACTGCACGCTTCGACTATTCAGACCTCGAAAAAAAACTGCTATCCATCAATCAACGGGCGTACTGTCGATACGAGCAGGTAAAGTGGGGGCTAAAATTTCGCGGGAATTAGTTTGCTCGAGGTCGAACGAGCGATTTCGACCCTCGCACCCATCCCCTCTCACCGATTCTATTTATCATTTCTCTCGTCTGGAAACAAGGGTGGAGAAGAGCAATCGAGTCAAGGGTTTCCTTCGAGTCGTTTAATTATTTTTCTCAGCCAGGCGGAAACACGTGCTTATCGGGACGGAAAGAATTTCTGCTGTTCGCAACTGTGCCCGCCGAACGTGCCGGCGATATAATTGGAGACAGCTGCACAAATCGACGACGGAAGAATGGTGGATCGTGGCGCGAAACGACGACGGCAATTAGAATCGTAACTGTAGGGAGCTCGACGTGAACGTCTCGAGGAAGCTGAATTTCCACGAGTGTCCAGGTTCTTTCGCATTCCGTTCTCAAGTGAACGCGATACGCGACTTCATTTCAACGGGCGGACTCAACTTTGTCTTGAATTTTAATCCAGAGAGAGAGAGTTGGAAAATTACGAATAGGGAAGGCTGGTTAAAGGGAAGATAGCTGAAGATATGCCGATGGAGAAAAGGTATCGAACGAGGATTATGATTCTTGCAAGTTTTATGGATGCAGGGAATTCAAGTTGCTCTGAGTATTTGTGGAAGAAAAGTTTCACGCTTCTTTCTGTTGAAGTTAGCATGATTTATTCGGTGCTAGTCGAAGACTTGAAATCACTTTTCAACTTAGAGCGATATTGAACGTGTTAACAATTTTTCAATCGATTTGTAATTAGTCCTAGAGGGGCTGGCAGTAACGTATTTTATTTCATTCAATTTGAGTAACGAATAAAATTTTTCTCTCACTTTTTAAAACTATTATGTTATATTTTGACAATTTTCATGTACACAGTACTGAATGTCTACTTTTTTAGAATTGGGATTAGGTTCACCAACAGCCCCGAAGTTTTTATTTGCTTTGAAAATTAATTTCGTCTTACTTATCTCCGTTTTTCTCGGTCAAAGTGAAACATCGCTGGAGAAGAGCGGCGAGCACGGCGTGTAAATATAATACATAGTGTGCACGCGCTATGGCGACGATGAAATAAAATTCATCGAAGCCGAAAATCGCGATACAAAAGGGAGAAAGTTTTCTGAACGGCGGAAGACGAGAGGGAAACCACCGTTCACCGCGTAATCTTCATCGAAGTTACACGACTTAATACCGTCGTAACAAGTTTTCAAACGACAATAAAAATCTTCGAAACTCGGGATAACTATATTATCGGAGAAAATTCCTCAGGCTGTGTGAACAGAGAACTCGCGGACAGCTGCGAGCAAGAGCAATGTAAACATTCGTAATTTCGTGAAGGACCGTTTTTCTAACTCCTATATAAACACAAAACAAAAAAAAAAAAGGACGAAGAAACAGAAAGACAGAGAAACGAAACTGTATCGAGGCTAAAATTGTTCCGACAGCGATAACAGCGAAAACAAGACCGGAAAGGAAAACACTCCACGGGAGAGTCGAAAATAAGGCGAAAAAACGAGGGAAAGAATTTTCTGATCGTAGCTGTGTCGATCCTTCGGAGCACAAGTGAACCCGAAAGGGAAGTCTATGAACTTTAATAGTAAACCGACGATGGAAACACAGCTAACCTTCTCTTTCCGCGAACGGTAACGAGACTGTTCAATGAACGCGGGGGGAAAGGAAGGTGTGAAAAACGGCGGAAAACCGAAACTAGCCGGAGAAAAGAGCGATAGAATTGGGAATAGCTGCGAGAGAAGACCTTTGCGGTGGTCAGGCAGCGTTTACACCGGGATTATCCACGAACCGTGCACCCTGAAACGGCGTCGCCCTGCGGTTTCTACTGTCCGCTGCAATTAAATGGACATTTTTAATCTCGCCCGAAACTCCGTCATTGACGCCGCGTGAAAAGCGTCCTCCGCTTCCGGAATTTAATGAAACGGCACCGAGGACTCCGGGAGTCGTGCTTCCTGAAAGAAAGAAGGAAAAAAGAAGAGCGTTGCCCTTTGACAGGAGGGAAGGCCGCGTGTTTCGCCGAAGGGGTGATGCATTTTCGTTGAATGAGGCATTTCGCGAAAGAGATGAAAACTCGCGAATAACGTGGTTGTGTTTGGAATATTAAAGTTGGGCCCCCTTTGACCAGTGTGTATTCACGGTATAATTCTTCGGGGACGAACGGGATGGCCCTAGACAGATTGAATACGCGTGTACCCGAGAGAAATGTCGCGATTTGCGAGATAATTTCAATGAAATGAAACCAGCTGGGATTTCAATCGCTTTCATCCGACTTAATTCGAGAGATCGGGTTATAGCAGCCGGGGTTTTTCATTTACGCGCGTTATATCATATCCATTGATATTAAATGTATTCATCCGGAAGTTTGTGAATGAAGCATGATATCTGGATGAATGACGAGAGAGGAGATTCGCTGTGTAATGGAACATAGAATTTTAGCAAGTTTACAAATGTTGTTCAGATGAAACGATCTTTCATGCGTACGTACAATGTTTCCTTAAGATCCTGGCTGGCTCTTTATTACGAAAGATTTCTATCTGGAAATACCCGGGTGAAATTCCCTTTTCCATGTTTAAATTCAAGCTTCAGAAGCGAAACGGCCAGCTGAGTGACTGTATATCATCAAGAGAAGTAAAGTCTGCTGGGAAGATTCGAATCGAACAAACAACTGAATGGAAAGTGAATGAGAAGGCAGAAATGAAGTCGATGAAATTGTTATACTAGAAATATGAATATCTCCCCTTCTTCGAGGCTTTAATAATAATAATAAAATCGATAGTGTGTAGATTCGAGGCGTTATTTCCTCGTTAAAGAAATCGTTCAATTTCCTTGGCTATTCTATAGCCTAGGAGTGTCAAGAAATTCAAATCACGAGTGTCAAAATACGAAGCCAACCTCAACACTTTACGAAATACGTCTCTCTACTGGCGTTTCCACGCGAATTTACGAGGGCATGTCGCAAAACTGCGATGAAATTCAGTTGGCGCGCGCGGTGAATTGTTTGCAAAATACGTTTCGCGGAGCTGCGGGTGTTCGCCAGCAGGCTGTGAATAAACGTTTGATCGCAGCGGAAATTAAAGCGACCGTTTCGTTATAATTTCCATGCGTTTTGTGAGTTGCTCGGCAGCCAGTTAGACGAACGAACGACGTGATACGCGACGCGACGATTCGCGCGTGCAACTCGCGGGTAATCGATAAACGGTCCGGCCGTTAGGAATTCGTGTGCTGGATCAATACGAGGCCGGACGTTAATTAAACGTCAAATGCACCCATTAGAAAACGAAGTTTCTCGTTCAAGCCACAATCGAAAGGCCGATCCGCACAGCTGACTCGCCCGATACGAATACTCAACGGTCCAGCTGCAATAATATCCTCACACGATTCCCTCCTGTTACTGAAACGTACCTGAAGGATTTGGACTGCCGTGATATACTCAAAGAATCGATGGTTGTTTTTTTTTGTAAACTGATATTTCATTATTTTGAAAATAAAGTGTAATTTATCGAAAGTTGAAATTAGTCTCTTTCTTCGGACTTGACATGCACTATTTCTGCATAATAACGTCAGTAGAGGAATGTTATTAAAGATGAATTACTTAAACATCATTTGGCCTGGTTTAATCGAAATTTCACCGAAAGATAAAATTCGCTTTTCTCGAAATTCCAAGCAAGATTAGAATTCGCTTTTCTCGAAATTCCAAGGAAAGTTAAAATTCCCTTCTTTCGAAATTCCAACGAAAGTTAAAATTCCCTTCTTTCGAAATTCCCTTCTTTCGAAATTCCAACGAAAGTTAGAATTCGTTTCTTTTGAGACTCCAACGAAAGTTAAAATTCGCTTTTCTCGAAATTCCAACGAAAGTTAGAATTTGATTCTTTCGAAATTCCAACGAAAGTTAGAATTCGTTTCTTTCGAAATTCCAACGAAAGTTAGAATTCGCTTTTCTCGAAATTCCAAGGAAAGTTAAAATTTCCTTCTTTCGAAATTCCAACGAAAGTTAAAATTCCCTTTTTTCGAAATTCCAAGGAAAGTTAAAATTTCCTTCTTTCGAAATTCCAACGAAAGTTAAAATTCCCTTCTTTCGAAATTCACTTCATTCGAAAATCACATACAAATTCGATTTTGTACAGGGGGAACCATTTTTCTGGATGCAGAAATACGAGTCTTTCTCGTCAACTTCCTTTTTCATCTATATTCTCTCGTATCCCAGGAGGAATACAATATTTGCCGACTTCAATTCTCTGTTAGCCAACATGTAACCGTAGAAACGTTCGTCAAATCCGGGTTACACCGTGCGAAACGCGTGGCAAATGCAATCGTGCACGCTCGAAATACAGGATATTCGGTGTGAACGTTGCGAATTTCTTCAGCGAATTTTTCCGCAGTAAGCACGCGTCTTAACGAAGGGGCGTGGAAATTTTACACTCACCTCCTCCCAAACGAGTTGTTTGCTCACTCCGGGTCGTAGATTCATGATTTTCAGTTCAGCCGCCTTCAGAACGCCGTCCTGGGTGAACTCCACCTTAGGCTTCCCATGATCGCCTTCCACCGATACGTTCTTCAAGTACCTGAACACAAAAGAAATACGATTTTCCTGTGAAAACAATGTACCAAAATATTATCCAATCTTTGTTCCACAAATTTTAGAAGCACTAACAATTTTCAGACGAATTAATCTGACACAAGCTTCCAAATTCTTTCCAAGCAGTCAACTACTTTAATAGGAATTTTTATTAAGCCTGTATTTCTTTAAAATAAGCACGGTTTCGAAGAAGCAAGGTACATAAATTTCAAAGCTGATTCTATTCCTCTTAACGCTGAAAGACAGGTTTAGCTTTCTAATGTTAATATTATTATTGCTACAAAGTCTTCTCGTGGTTATTCCAGTTCCCTAAAGAGTCGAGTATCTTCTATTTACACTGTTCCCTCTGCTTCTGCAACGATGAATAACGACACTCCCTGTTTTATTTCTATTTCTCTCTGCCTCCGCTTTTTAATTCTTCTCATTTAAAAGGTGCCACCTCTTGCGCATGAATAATGCATTCTACTCGACGCTCGCAAGCCGATTGCACGCTCTAAAATCTACCTTTTAATTAAGAATGACTCGCGGGGTTACAAGTCTACCACAGCCAAATGACTTAGTGTCAGGAAATCTTCATATTAGCTCGATATACGAATCGCAGAGAATTTAAAAGAAAGAATAGATTCAAAATCATTCCTACGAAACATAGGTACAGCGAAAATTTCATCGATATTCACGCGCTCTACAGGCGATCGAGCGAAGATTATCTAATCTGTTACGATCACTCGCGCGCTAGACCTCGTGTCGATGCACTCGAATCGAATAAATTGATCGATCAATTACACCAGTAATCTACTCTTACTGGAGACTGGTAATTGAATATTGGTAACAACACGCAGAACAATACAGTAGAGAGAAGGTAATTTTATACTGACGATAATGCAGTCGTACTTGGGTCTGTAGCGGTTCGTTCGAATGTGACATTAAACGACGCCTATCTTCACCGCCGGAAATATTGCATTAAAATACGCTACAGTAGAATTTACGTAGATTTGAAGAATTTAGAAAAATTAAAAGTATTCAATTAAAGGAACAATTGCTTGGAAAACTGATTCACAGTGTTTCTTTAAATATCGTACAAAATTGCCTCGGAATTGTGTAATTGACAATCGTCGTAAGTCTCAAAGGGTCAAAAGATCCACCGAGTGTTACAAAAATTAACAAGCGAAAGAGTTAGAAATACCAGAATGTTCAATCGAAAGGATCATGAAGTGAAGCACTTACTTGAAAAACAGGTCTCCGGTGTTCCAGCGGGACTCCCCGTAGCTTCCCTCGCAGCTCAGCTGAGTGTTCAAGCTAAGTCGCTCGTTGTTCGTCTTGTTCAAGAAATCCTCGACGCCGTACGCGTAAACCTTCACTGCGGTCGTGATCTCACTGACCAAACTCTCCGTGCTCGTGTCGAAATGCACTCCTGAAAAATCACCGTAAAAGGGAAGAACGACCGTGAGAAGGAAAAAACGAAGAAATCTTTCAGAGTGGAAAATACATCGCGTCTGTATCGTAAACGAAATTAGGGCACGTTTGGGGTTCGAATATATATATGAAACTTGAGAGAAGGGGAGAACGAGGGACAAAGAACGTCAGCCGACAGACAGGATTCGTTCGAGTGGATTTAATTAAATTCTTTTCGAAACATCTCCTCGTTGTCCTCGAATGAGAGACGAGCTGATCGACAGGACAGCCGACGTTCGATCCGAGCTCCTGAAAATAATTCACCAGACACTCGATTCTTTTTCCCCTCTGTTCTGCAGCAACCAACGCAGGATCCATTGTGCGAAGGTTCGAAGATTTTTACACCTTCGAGGATGAAATCGGACGAGAGTAATGGAAGATTAAATTGAGAGCGTGGTGGATACGGTTGTGTAAAGAGGAAACAGTTGCGCTTTTAACTCTTTTAATTATCTCGTGTTTCGCTTCCTCATGAAAGGATGGCTTACGAATGGAAGATATATAAAGCAAATTGTACGTGTGTTCTACTATTAAACAGTTCAAACCAAGCATCATTTCGTAGTTGTAAATGTAAAATCGTAATTTAGATTTATTTAAATAATCCGCAAGCTTTACAGGATACGTATAAAAATTCTGCTGCAGTTATCGTTTATTAGTCGCATCCATTCGGAATGCAGAGCTTTCCCGGAACGAACATGCATTTCAGTAACTAAAAATAAAATAAATTCGTATAAAATAAATGTTGCAAATAAACTGATATGCACACGAAAAATCTCCGAATTTCCGGTTTCTCGGCAAAAAGGTAATTGCAAAATTTTTCGTGAAAAATTAAGTTCGTAAATATCGAGTTGGTGGAACGAAATATTGAAGCATTATTTGCGAGTGAAGGGTTAAAGGGCAAATTAACGAGAATTTTGTTCGCTCGCTCTTTCCGAAATGAAGAATATCATTAAAGTTAAAATTCACAACGTTAGAAGTAACTATCGCCAACCTGAACTTCGATAAACCAATCGAACTATCCAAGTGACTTGGTACAAATAGAAGAGATTATCTTCGAATTTTAGAAGACATGTTAACAGCGAATACATTATTCCTGAACGAACAGAATTATGAGAAAACTCGGTTTGACAAAACCAATCAGCCCGACAAATTACAGAAATCCACGAAGAAATTACTTGGTCGCCCGAGTAACAGACGTGCCGTTGTTCGAGAAGACAAGAGCCTTCACCTTCCAACAGAGCCGGGTTCCTTTATTAAAATTCGATGCTCGTTTCGCGCGGGGATTTCCTCTCGCATGTTTTATTTATGTTTCGAGCCAGCAGATCCAGCCGGAACGTTTCCGCTTTTCGGATTTCGCCTGGATGATATATGATATTCCGATGACAAGACCAGTCGGATAGGTTTGAAAATCGATGAGCCTGTACGTACAAATAGAACTGGCACTCGGCTGTTGTCGCTCCCAGCCAAAATTGCGGGAAAAAGGATTTTCTGTTCATAACGAACAACGGCCTCTTGGGACATCCATTTTTCCCCCATTTTCTCCTTCCCTCCTCTTCTCTCTCCCGTTGTATTTCAGGCTTCCGTGGAGCTTTTTTTCGCGCGAACGACAAGCCGACATCGTTAGGGCGTGTTTTTCAAACCGCAGATATTGAATTGAAAAAGTTTTCCTGTCACCACCGGCCGCGATTCTACGCATATTTCGATTCCGCGAACGAAGTGGATATCTCTGTTCACCCGGGAAAAACGCACGCGGCGAGTAGATCACGCGTGCAAAACGACGGAAGAGAGAGAGAGAGAGAGATATTAGGAGAGCGAGCTGGAGCTGCGGTAATTCTGTTTCATAAACGTTATTATACCGCGAACGTTATCCTCTTTCGCAGGCCACGGAATTACTCGCGAGGGGGAAGTTCCACGCGCAGATTGTTTCGCATTGTACGAAGACAGGGGGAAACGGGGGACATTTCGCGTCGTCTGATAGCAGGTTGCACGTTGGATCCTCAGAGATAGGTAAGGATTTTATATTCAGCTTGTTGGGAGGGATCTTGACGCTGGAATTGCGAGAATAGAAGAATTTATGTGGAGAGTGGTGAAAATTTGAAAAATTAATTTCTTCGAAATTTTATTTGAATAATTTGCTATGAGAAAATGTCGTAAGATATTAGGGAAGTTAT